ATGCTCGAAGTATGCCTTAAGTCCAGCAGATGCTGCTAAGGAGTAAGGCAGCTTTATGGGACTTGGGATCCAGAACAGGAAATTCTTGAAAAAGTCACTGCAGTAATTAACGGAATTGAAACATAAGCCCCTGAAAGCAAAGCAGCTGCCAAACACCTTTCCTCTAAACTGCTCATGATGGTACCCCATAAATTTTGATTGACACCAAAGTACATGATGTAATAACTTTTTATGCATGTAAAAAGTATGGAGAGAGGGGGCTCTAATGGTTTTCTGGCATAGTTTTTGAAGGAAAGTGCTGATGAAGCTGAAATACCCTGTCTAGACTTTGGGAAGAAACTGTTAACTCTGCACATTTTCATTTATAACCTTTGATCCTCAAATCTTACCTGGGTCAGAATTGCCTGGGAGATTAGGACAGCACAGACTGTTGAGCCCCACCCTACATTAAGAAGCGCATCAGCAATGACCCTACTTATTTAAAGTTTCAACTGACACAGAGTAATTGGGCATATTTATGGGCATGGTATGACATTCAGTGCTTGTATACACTGTGCAATGATCTGATCAAGGTAAGTGGCATGTCTGTCATCTCAGGCAACCATGATGCATCTCTGTTTTGAGAATATTCAAAATCCTCTTTACTAGCTATTTTGAAATATACATCTAATTATTGTTGACCATAGTTATCCTAGTGTGTTATAAAACATTAGAAGTTTTTTCTTCTACCTGATTACACCCTGTAACCACCCTGTTTCTAGTAAGGTCATATTCTAAGGTATTGGAGGGTAGGACCTCAATTTAGGGCACAGGTCAACCCCTAACACCATCCCAGTGGGTGAGAAATGGTCTCAGGGTTTTTAATTTCCTTTCCCTTAGCTGCTAAGGATTCTGAGCACTCATTGGTCATTGGTATATCTCTTATTTTGTCTTTGTTGCTACGGTTTGACTGCCGGGTCTTAGGAAACATTGCTCCATCTAAGATTGTGAGGATTTTTTTTTCTTCTGCATCTTAAAATTTTTACTCATCGACTTTGAGAAGTTTGGGGACATTAGTTACTCAAAACTAATTTTCCTTCCTGTTTCTCTTTTTTCCTTCTGTAACTCCTGCTGTGCATACATTGGTATATTTGATTTCAAATCCACTGATTTGTTTTTCTTCTGGTTGAGATATGATTTGGGACTCTTCCAGTGAAATTTTCATTTCAGTTATTTACTTTCAACTCTAGGCTCTTTATTTAAAAAAATATTTCCTATGTGTTTAATCAATATTCTTTACTGGTGAGACATCATATTCTCCCCACCTCTCTCTCCTCTTGTCAGCCCCAAAAGGCAAGGCTCCCTCATGCACCTGTTCTGCTACATAATCGCATTGATTGTTTGGCAAATTGTCTCTGGGCAGTGTCACACATAACGAACTCCAAGTCCTGTCAAATAAAGACAAGCCCTGAGCTGGGCTCTTCAGAATCCTGGAGGTAGATCAGTACTGATACTTCTGTAGGGTTGGTAACATTTGAAGAGACCCAAGCTTATCCTACACCCTGCAGAGGCTGCTGGGTGCTCACGTACTTAACCCTGCAGAATTATTGAATTTCAGTTCTTCCATGAAGCTAGGTGGGAAGGAGATGAAATAAATCCTACAAGAATCATCATTCTCACCAATAAAGGAATGCTTTTTGGGTTATTACAGGCTTCAGTTAATTTTTAGAGTTCTGAACATTGGTATTAACAGTTCTAGTGTGCCCTGACCTTTTATAGAGACGCAGAATTTTGAGTTTCTTTTCAATTCAAAACATGAGATATTCTCCCCTTTAAATGGCATGGATGTTACTTATTTTAATTCTTACACACAAAATTTTTGTAGCAGTGATGCACAACTTTGTGAATTCATTAAATACTCCCGTGTTGTCTATTTTAAAATGGTGACCTTCATGGTATATGAATTGAATCTCAATATAAAATTTTTCCAGTGTGTGTTCTTTTCAATTCAAAACATGAGATATTCTCCCCTTTAAATGGCATGGATGTTACTTATTTTAATTCTTACACACAAAATTTTTGTAGCAGTGATGCACAACTTTGTGAATTCATTAAATACTCCCGTGTTGTCTATTTTAAAATGGTGAACTTCATGGTATATGAATTGAATCTCAATATAAAATTTTTCCAGTGTGTGCTTTTCCATAAAGAAAATTGTGGGTGTACATGCTCATGTGTGTACATACATGTGTAGGCCACAGGTCAATGTCAGGTATCTTTCTCAGATGCGCTTCACCTTATTTTTTTCTTTTTTTATTAAATTTTTGCAAAAGTCATACAATATATTTTGATCGTATTTAGAACACCTTATTTTTTTTCTTTTTTAATTAAATTTTTGCAAAAGTCATACAATATATTTTGATCATATTTAGAACCCCTCCCCTATCTGCACCCCCTTACTACTGCCCAAGTTCATGCACTCAGGCACATATATATATATATATCCTCCAAACTTGCCATAGCCTCTCCCTATATAGTCAAATTTGTGTCCCCAAATGCCCATTGGTGTGGGTCCATCCACTGGAACTTGGTTAACTTACCAAGAGTCACACCTTTAACAGGGACTGTCTCTCCCCCTCCCAGCAACCATCAGTTTTCAATAGTTACTCAGATAGGGTTTAGGTTTCTTATCCACTTCCCCATGTCTATGCTGGGAATTTTCTTGAGTTTATGTGGTACTTGTGCAAGCTGTCACCATTGCTGTGAGTTCATATGAGTAACTTCCCAGCTGTCTGGAAAACTGTTTCCTTATGGTCACCCACCACCTCTAGCTCTTACAATCTTTCTGCCTCCTATTCTGCAATGATGTAGGTGTCCTGTTCAGGGATCAGCACTCTGTGGTCTCTTGTTTTCTGCACACTGGCCAGTTGTGGGTTTCTGTGTTAATCACCGTGTGCTGCAAAAGAGAGTTTTTCTGGTGAGAGTTGAGAGATGCATTAATCTATAACAAGCCATTAGGAATCACTCTAATATTATATCTGTCTAGCAGAATAATAATATTAGGCTATCCCCTATGGCCTGTGTCCTGTCTAACCATAGGTTCCTAGGCCTGATATTAATGTCAGGTATGGGCTCCGTCTTATGAAGCAGACCTTAAATACAATTAGAAAGTGGCTGGTTACTCCACACTATTTGTGCCACTATTGCATCAGAGGTAAATCTTGCCAGGCTGGTTGTTGTAGCTCGCAAGCTCCACAGCTCAGTAAGGTTGACGGTTAATTTCTCTTCTGGTAGCATTCATAGCACCTTCCAACACTGCTAAAGCTAGCCAGTGGAGATGAAGCTTTGAGGTCAGTATCAGCTTGATTTCTCCTTGTTTGTTCTACAACTCATGTATTGTAGCATCTTCAGCAACAGGGTCTTACTGTCGAGTTCTGGTGGGTAACCAAGAGCAGGTGCAATGGTCAGTATTGTTTGAGGGTCTGTGAGACCCATGGTCAACAGCTTTAAAAGAGGGAGTCCATTCCTGACAATGGGCTTTTACTTTGCTAGTGTATGGTTTCTAGTAGAGGCACTGTCCCCTGTTATAAGATAATGCTTTTTAATCTCTTTTTATACTGTATACACATATACTTTAAGATGCTTCTACAGTGGTAAATTTCCATATGTTTTTCTCTAAAGGCCTTTGGTGTTGGCTATCCCTCCCCACACTCCCTCCTCTGCCCTGCCCTCCCATTCCCCACCTCAATTAACCTTTCCTACTCTATTATTCTCCTTTCTTTGTTTTTAAAAATTTATTTCTATTTTTTATGTGTATGAGTGTTATGCCTGCATGGTGTAAGTGCACCCATGTCGTGAAGTGTTGCAGAGGACGCAAGAGGATGTTGGATCCCCTGGAACTTGAGTTAATGATGGTTGTTAGCCACCACATGGGTGCTAGGATTCAAATCTGGGTCTTCCGAAAGAATAGTCAGTGCTCTTAACCACTGAGCTATCACTGCAGCCCCTCTTTCCCTTTTTATAACTGCATTCTATCTTTTAAATATTATGAGAATCATCTTCAATGTTCCACTCAACCTATACACACTATTCTGAAAATTCATGAGAAGGGTGGGGTTAAGCAGACTTTGTCTCTGCCTTCAAGGCACATACCCTGTTTCCAGCTAGGGTTGCTTTGCAGAGCACTCCCTCAGGACAGTGGACTTTGGGATGAGTTATGAGTTCAGAAATCCTGAGCCACCTGTGGATTATAACCTCACATTCATTCATCCCTCACTACAGAGGAAGCTGGCAGCTCACATGGGTCAAGATGCATCCCAAGCTGCTATGGGGAATAGCAGAGTCACATCCCAGCTCTTCCCTATCCTTGGACACAGGCATGAAGTGGGAGTAGGTCTCCAGTAGGTAGATATGGGCAGCATTCCAGGTGGTACGCTAGTGACCCACAGGGGGATGGAAATTTTCAGGGAGAGTTTAATGAGGAATTTGGACTTTTCTGAAGGCAGTAAGAAATCTTAGGTGCTATTATGCAATGTCTAGTATAAGAAAAAGTGCTTTCTTCATATGTTCATCTTGATTTTATTTAATGCTCAGTGACAGAACTGATGAACAGATTCCAGCCCTGGCACCACACAAAGGTCTGAATCCTGCCCAACTACTTTGCCAATTCTGTGAATGAGGGAAGGTCATTTTAACCCCACTGAACCTTAGCAAGGACGTTAATTTCCATCTCTAAGAATGTTGTATACATCAGACAAGATGATGTGTAGATGTTTCCTAAATAAGGGTGTTATATTACTATAAATAAGGGTGTATATTAATTACACTCTAAAATACTTTTTGAGATGGGGTCTCACTATTTAGCTCTGACTGGAACTCTATGTAGACCAGGCTGGCCTCAAACTCACAGAGATCTGCCTGCCTCTGCCTCCCAGGTGCTGGGATTAAAGATGTGCACTACCACATTTGGCTCCAAATATTTTCAGTCTATCTTTTTATGTTTTCCATACTTTTCTTTACAGAGATCAAGATTGCAAGAAGATACTGAGTACATTCAAAAGTGCATTTATTTCAAAGAATCCTTGCAACATCACAGAAGAAGACTACCAACCACTAGTGAAGTTGGTCACTGAAACCATACCATGCAACAGGGTGAGTAGGACAAGTTCTTCTTCTCAAAACTGGGACTAAAAGGAGAGGGAAGAGGTTACAAGACCTAATTTAGGATGCAGAAAGAAGGGAAGCACAGGCATTATTGGGTATGGTTGGTGGGCTTCGAATTGGGGAACTAGGATACCATTAGAGTTTAGGACATCTTGAGTATGGAGATCAGAGAGATGAGGACAGGCAAACAACATAACACCAACTCCAACTCACATAAGCAAAGTAACTCAATCTTATATAATTATGAAACTTTTGGGCTTCTGATAATAATAAGTAAGCAAATGGTAACAAGGACACATGTTTAAAGAGTAATTCTTTGGACTTTTCTAGCCCTCATCATCTTAGCTATTCAGAGTCATCCTGTGGAATAGGCAAACTGGATGTCAGCAACTTCATTTCACCACTGAGAAAGTTCAGGCTTAGTGAGTTTAGGTGAACAGAGATTTCCCAAGTATAGCAGGGTTGAAAACGACCAGATGAAATATATATATGTGACTTGGAGACAGAGAGGCCTGGGTTTTAATACTTTGATTATACTGGAAGAGATCTATCAGGAGGTACAGCTTTTATCACGAGATACAACTTTTCTAAAGTCTGTATTCAAAGCAAAATTCCATGTGTCCAAAATTGTGTTTTTGAAGCCTTCAAACCCACTCACAAATGATTACCTCTCATTCCATTGTTAGTGAGCTGTAGTTGTTGTGACTTTTCCTCCAGGAACACTAAGTTGAATGCTCTGAACAGAGGAGGTGCTTGGTAAATAATTACCCAGACTGACTTTGTTGAATAAGCAGCTATGCAACAGTACTAAGCAATTCATTTGCATGACCTCCTTTCATCTCCGCAGCAATCCATGAGTTTATTATAGTCGTTATCACTACCATTTTACAGGTATAGAAAGTAAGGCTTAGTGATGCTCTGATTGCCCAGTTCGAGCAACTAGTAAGTGGTGACACTGAGCATCAGTGAGAAGCTTGGTTTCAGGACTTCTGTAGCCCACTGTGCTCTGCCTGCTTCCTGCCAGGAACGAATACATTCATGGGGCAAAATATTACTCCAAAGTTTGTATGTATTCTTGAGGGAAACGCTGAAAGGACCCACCAATTTCTTTTAATTTTTTGGTGGTGACAGGGAATATTTGGGGGAAAGTGGAAGGAATTATAGAATTTTTAATAATCAAAGAGTAGGAAAGTTCAGGAATATTAGAACTCCTTCTTGATGTTTCCTGTAAAAGTGACTCTCTTTTAGTTCACTAGCATACCTTTTTAAGTATAGTTCAGGCTTGAAGTCATGACTCTCCTGCTTCAGGCTTTGGAGTACTGAGGTCGCACCTCAGCTCCTTGCTTAGATGTGAGCTTATGTCTTGTGAATGACAAGACTTTGATCAATGGCTTCCAGACTTTTTGTTTACAACCCAGAATTCAGTTTGCATTTTGACCTTGAATATGAATCTCTCTCTCCCTCTCTCTCTCTCTCTCTCCCTCTCTCTCTCTCTCTTTCAAACAGAGAATAAGATACGTACAACAATCTTTATCCTTATTTGCATGTCATTTGCTCCAATAGTTTCTGTTTTCTTTTCATTTATAAAAGGTAGATTTATTTATTTTTCGCAGTGCTAGGAATGAAACCCAACCTCCTGCATGCTAGGCCAGTCTTCCAACCCTGAGCCACATTCCCAGCCCTGAGTTTTATTTTCGTACCTACTAAATTGATCCCAACAGTAGGCTGTGTCTATTCTTCCTCAGACTCTCTTTTGGAGCAAATCCAAAGACCTGGCCCATCAGTATACCAAGGTCCAGAGGAAGATGTTCACCCTGGAGGACACGCTGCTGGGCTACATTGCTGATGACCTCAGTTGGTGTGGAGACCCCAATACTTCTGGTGAGGGTCTGAGCCACCTGGGATAGCTTAGGAGCATAGGAGTAGAATTGGAAAGGGGCCTTGAAAGGTTGACGTGGAAGAAGGAGTCATAAGTACATAGTCTGATGCCCTCAAGGACCCTTAACGAAAACTCAAACTCTGAAAAACAGCAATTCCTGTCCTTTTGAAAAATCAGCTTCAGAGTTTGGGATTTCCCTGAGAGAGAGAGAGAGAGAGAGAGAGAGAGAGAGAGAGAGAGAAGAGAAAGCCAAATTCACATCATAACTACTTGCTTATTTAGTAGCCATTCCAGCCCCATGAGATTTAATGATCTAACGTAGTCTAGAGAAAAATAATCTAATCTCTCAAAAAAATACTAATTCATTCATGAAAGGAGATTCCTTGTGATGGGAATACTCTTCTTAAAGGTTCCATCACCTCGATACAGTGCATTGGAGAATTAAGCCTTAACATGAGTGTTGGTGTGGACCAGCCATATCAAACCATATTACTACTTTATAGCGTTAAGACTTTCAAAACGTCATCATCTCTCTCACGTTCCCTCTCTCCCTCTCTCCTCTCCTCCCCTTTCCCTGTTACTCTTCCTTTCCTCTTCTTCCTCATCACCCCAACACCCTGCTCTACTCCCTGTGCACCCCCTTCCATTCCTCTGGCACTTCCTTCCTCTTTCTCTTTCTCTTCCTCTCTTTTGCAGGGAATGTTTCCCTTAATCTGTATTTATTATTTCATTCTGCACGACATAGTTTTTGAACATAATTTCGAGTCACTTTTTCAAAAATGGCTTTTAAATTGAAATTATACATATTTAAGATATGTAGTGTGGTGTTTGGAAAGAAATTGACATAATGATCTGATTACTACACTTGAGCTAATTAACATATCCATCACTTCATATAACCATTTTTGATGGTGACTCTCTTTCTCTCTTCTTTTTATAGACAATCAGAATCTATTTGCCTAGTAATCCATCCTTTCTTTCTATCCCCCTTACCATTGCCTAGTCTAACATCCTCTTCTTCTTTCTGGGACTTGTAGTAGCTTACTGATCACTCTTTATCGCTTTAGGTCAGTCTCCATCTGACACCACAGTGTTCTTTTTACTATGAAAATGTGATTACATCTATCTCCTTCTTAAAACCTAACAGCCCTCTTTTGCCCCTAGGGTAATGATCTAAATTCCTTGACCTGGCCTGACCTCTGTCTTTCAGGTGTCTTATTTTCTCATTCTTTTCCGTATCTTTTTCTTTTTTCCTGATCAAAGCTCATCACAGCTCTGAGCCTCTGCACGTGCTGTCTTCAGAAAGCATCCTCCTTTTTCAAATCTCTCTGAAGACTCTGTTTCTTTCTTCAAAGGAAAGTTCAGCATCAACTTTCTCTGATGGTACTTCATAACCCTCCAACCCAAGTTAATTTTTCTCTGATTATTTGACTTCACATCATGTGCTGTGTGAGGCAGGACTCCTACCCATTCTATTCTCTATTCCCAGAATCTTACTCTCAATAAATGTTTATGTATTAAGGCAGCCAACCTTGGGAATAGCTATCATAGAAACCATGCATTAAACTTTATGGTTTGAACCTCACTAAGGGCTGACCTTGTCTTCATAGAGTTAACTATAGAAAGCCTGAATACATCTGAGTCCAAAGATATAAGACATATAGAGGCTGAGAAGGAAAGCTCTCCATGAGAGAGAATTGCCAGAGGAGTGGTTGGCTAGAGCACCCTGCCCCACAAGGCCTGTACTTCTCTCTAAATGTTCCTTGGACTTAGGATAGTAACGGGGGCTGGTTTCTGTAGGGCAAATTTTGGCTGCCATTTCCCAGAATAATGACTCAAAACCCATTACAGTGTTCCTGTCTGAGATCTGGAGGGTAAGGTAAGGACTTGGAAGGAATTCAGGGGACACTTAGTTATATTGGGTTGAGCTGTGTCCATATTCTAGTCTTTATCTTGGCAATGATGCTGTTGGGAAAAGATTCCACTATGATTGGAAAGCCAGGGAAAACAAAACTTAATGATATACTTCCTTAATTATTATTTTTTTTTTACAAACTATGTGTTTTAGAGATGAACTATGACTCTTGCCCACACTGGAGTGAAAACTGCCCCAACAACCCTCAAAAAATGTTCTGGAATATGATTTCCCAAAAGGTAAGTTCCAAGCAATGAAATGGTAGAGTTTTGATTGACATCACCATCCAGTTAATGGTTGGGTTTTAATACTTTTTAAATCACAGATTCTTTTAGGTGTGAAAGTGTAGAAGTCTTTGCCGAGAAAAGTATCTCAGAAACACATACCAGAAGACTTTCTTACACAACTTCAGAACATCCACAGAGGCTCCGTGCGCTCTAAAGAATCCCTGCCCTTACCCATTCACTGGCTGTAGCTGCCAGGAAGCCGGGGTTTGGCTTAATCCTGTCATTACATATTGATTAGATTCCTGGAACAGTCTTAATACGCTACCTTTATAGACCACTTAGTATATGCTGAACTCTTTACAGAAGTTGAAGACTTTTATCTTTAAAAGAACCCTTCAAAGTACTAAGAATATCATGCCCATTTTGCAGATGGTAAGATGGAGATAAACAAGCAAGCCACTCACTGTGCATAGCTAGTAAATGGAAGAACTGGGCACTCGTCCTAATTTGTCTGACTCTAAATCTGGACTCTGGGTTGAGAAATGCCTGCTCCTTCACCCCATATGCTCCTGACTTTACTTAAAGCTACACATGCACATTAATTTTTTCATTAGTTGCTTCTTTGCACGTGGTCAAGGAAAATTCCTTTGTAAGTAGACTCAGTGGGTGGGGATGAAAAGAATTAAGAAAGAAATGGAAGGAAAAAGAGAAGTTCCAAGTATACAGATTACAAATTTAAAATTAAATGTATGTATCTGAAGCGTTGAGACAAATGGAAACTTGTATTCATGAGTCCATGTGTGCTGCTCTAAAAAAGAAACAAGAGTGTGCTGTTCATAA